TTCGAGGTCTACCTCATCTTTAAGCATCATTTCATGAGTGAGGAGAGAACTAATTAGCTCATCGAGAGTTAAGAATTTTAAATTTTTAGTCTCGATGATCGCCTTCTTCTTTGATTGCCAAGATTTTGGAAGAGAGTAAACTAACTTTCTCATAAACTTCTCATTTGGAATGATCTTTCCAAATTATTTGAGACAATTGACAATCGTGGAAAATCTATCCGTCATAGCTTTGATATCTCCATCCGGTTTCATCTTGAAATTTTCATAGCTATGAGTTAGAAGACTAATTTTGGATTATTTTACCTCGTTTTTGCCTTCATGAGTGACTTGTAGTTTATCTCATATTTCCTTGGTGGTTGTATAAGATGATATTCTCATGTATTCATCCGGTCCAAGAGCACAAAAGATAATATGGATAGCTTTGGAGTTGATCTGGAACATTCTTCTCTCTCCTTCACTCCACAATCTTGGATGAGTGGAAAGTTTGATATATCTATCTTCTATGATATTTCATGCTCTCATGTCACTTGCTTGAATGAAATATATCATTCTATTCTTCCAATAAGCATAATTAGCTCCATTTAAGAAAGGAGGCTTGTTGACGGGAATGAATCAAGACTAAAGTCGTGGTTTGAAGTAGAGGACATTGATACCTTGATTATCGATGTAACTCTTCCCAAATTGACTCAAGAGGCGATTAAACCTTCAAATGTGTGAGGCTCTGATACCAATTGTTCAGTTAATCGATCGATAGAATCGGCCAAGAGGGGGTGAATTGGCAATAAAAATTCCGGTTGAAGCTTTTGCAGAAAATTGGAAATATTTGCACAGCGATTTAGAGTGGTTCAACTTTCTCAACCAAAGTCTACGTTCACTACCTTAGCTATCCACACTAAGGATTTTCCACAAATTCACTAATTTGTCTTTCTTTTGAGGACAAAGAGTAACCTTACAAATCCCTCAAGAATTATATCCCTTTGAGGACAATGAGTAACCTTACAAATCCCTCAAGAATGATACCCCAAATTCTTGAGAACATTCTCTCCCAAAAAAAACAATACAAATTTTGCAAACTTACAAGAAAATCCTCACAAGGAAAGATGTTTGTACAATTCTATAACAAAGAAAAAACACTCAAGAATAATACAATTGAGCACAATAAGTTTTCTTGAAATTAAAAATGAATATTAAATGGAATAGGCTTCAAAATGCTCAAACTTGAGGTTTGATGGTTTCTCTTTGATTCTCTCTTTATTCTTGATAATTGTTGTTGATCAATGGCTTCTAAGCTTGTTTAAATACTCCTTGGATCATTTCTGAACTTTGGAGATCATTAGTGGAATTAATAATAGAGTTGTTATTGTGTAAAAACAATTAATAAAACAATTTGGAGCGTTAGGGGGTATCGGTACCCCTGCATAGGGTATCAGTACCCTATTGTGTAAAATTCAAATATTTCAACCGTTTGAGATGAGGGTATCGGTACCTCCTGGGGTGTATTGGTACCCTCCTAGCAATCTGTTATTTCTTGGAGCCAAATCTTACATGGGGGTATCGGTACTCTCTTGGGGTATCGGTACCCTCCGAGCAATCTGTAATTTCTCGGAGCCAAATCTTATATGGGGGTATCGGTACCCTCTTGGGGGGTATCGGTACCCTTCGAGCAATCTGTTATTTTTGTTTAAGATTTATTAAGAAAATATTTTTGGCTCGATTAAAGGCTCGAAATACTTTGTAAAATTGTTTAAAAGATTAAAACACACTTTTACACTTAAGTAAGGATTGAATTTGACTTTTGAAAAACTTGGAGTAATATTTTGATATTCAAATAGTTTGATCGAATATATAATTGAAAATGATTAGAAAATCTTGGAATCCAATAACATTTAATTTTTTATATCGAAACATCAAAATGTTTTCAACAATAGCTCATTTAGTGAATACATGTAGTATAGTTCAATTATTAGTGAGGCACTGAGCTCATAAGTTCAATGTTCGAAATGGATTTCAATGTGCAGGTTCTTAGGAGGTTGTTCGTGGGGAGTTATCATCACAAATATTCCAATGTAGTATATCAGATCAGCAGAGACTTTCAGAGCACGTCTTGAGTTATTTTTAGAGGGCATGTACTATTTATGGACCCTTGTGTGCATTCAGCTGTAACTTTTGAATTGTACTCAGTATTGTATTGTTTTGGATACACTTTGGGAGCTCCCCATATTTTGTGCACTCAAATTTATTATCACATTTTATTTTATTTATAAGTATGGTTTTATTCAGTCGTTTATACATCAATTTTAAAGAAAAATTTTGGGTTACTATTTCGATAGTCCCGTGTGACATTTTAATCCATGGATATTCGGGTCGGCCTGGATTGGGGTGTTACAATATTTGGGTAATAAAAAGTCATTTTTCATGCTTAAAAATAGTTCATATTAAGATTTACTATGTGCATGATCTTAAGCTTCATAAACACTTGATTCTCTTAAACCTTCCTAAAACCCAATATATGAGACTAAAACCAAAACTTGAGATTATACACTTGAATTGAAGCTCTTGAAACGGAGATTTCATTTATCACCTTAGAATTCTTGAACTAGACTTGAAGGACAACAAAGTTTCAACCTTTTCTATCTTTTTGGAGAAGGAAAAAAATAATAAATAGAAGAAGCAAGGAGGAGTGTTTGGTGGGATAAAGGGGAGAGGTAACCACGTGAAAATATTCCTAAATTAATGATTTTATTTCAAACGTTGGTCTAATTGCTCTCATCCTAGGATTAAAAATACACTTTCTAATAACAATTGGGCCCTAAAATAGATTACTAACTCAATTAGGTGCTTGGATTGAAGTTAAAAACACTCTTTATAACTTAAATCCACTAAAAATGGGTTAGAGTCACTTGATTCTCTTAAACCTCCCTAAAACCCAATATATGAGACTAAAACCAAAACTTGAGATTATAGACTTGAATTGAAGCTCTTGAAACGGAGATTTCATTTCTCACCATAGAATTCTTGAACTAAACTTGAAGGACAACAAAGTTTCAACCTTTTCTATCTTTTTGGATAATGAAAAGAATAATAAATAGAAGAAGCAAGGAGGAGTGTTTGGTGGGATAAAGGGGAGAGGTAACCACGTGAAAATATTCTTAAATTAATGATTTTATTTCAAACGTTGGTCTAATTGCTCTCATCCTAGGATTAAAAATACACTTTCTAATAACAATTAGGCCCTAAAATAAACCCAATCCAAACTCTATATAGGCTAATCTCTCCATCAAGGAAATTGGGTTTGTCCAAACTATCTCGGGTCAACCCGAAACTCCTAACCCACGATTTGGGACATTATAGTATATCCTTTTCACATCAGTGGATTCATCAAGGTTTTCTCATTATAGCCACCTAAAACATGGGCTATATATCCATTAAAAGAAAAATACAACCTTATGCGTGTACATTGTTTGTCATAAGGATGTACACTATAAATTTTTTCATGATTTTGTTTAACCACGTAGAAGAAAATTAAATTCGGTAATTAACATGAATTCCTCAACTACATAGATTTAAGATTCATTTGAAAAATTATAAATAATTTTTTCTTTAACTTTAAGTTCTTTTTGAATAGTTTTTTTTACTCTAGAGTTAAAATATCGACGTAAATTTTATTCAATCTTCGTGTGCTCTAATAACATTTATTTTGGAATATAATATATTCAATATTTTTTTAATAATTCACTTAAAATGAGATAATGTTCATATTTTTTACCTCCCTAATAATTGGTTTTCAATTTTGTCTTGAGATTTGAGTTATCTCGAAGGAGTACTCATTTCTGAGAGCATGTGCAACATTTAACTTCTTTTTTTCTTATTAAGCTAAGGTGATTATAAAGTAGTATATGTTCTAAATACTCTTAAAATTTGACAATTAATGAACGTTCAATTAACTTGTCTGCAATTGATGGTGCTTGAACTTGTAGTCTCTAGGAACAATAATTATTTATTTAACCACTGATATAAGTTGGTTCATAGACAACATTTAACTTTATCTTTGCACAATAGTATTTAATTACAAAAAGAAAACATTATTAGAAGAGACATCAAGAATAGAGATAAGAAGATCTACGTTATTATGACAATTTTCTTATTATTTTTAAAATATAAAAATGAATAAGACAAGCGCGATAGCAACCCGTTAATTTTTATAAATTGACAATGAAATCTAGAATCTCCAACACCGGATTTCCCAGGTTCCAATTTTTTTCATCTATCTTTTAAATCTTAACATAATTTTTATATTAAAAAAAGTTAATCGAATTACGTATTCTTAAAATATAACTCTCATTTTAAATTGATATTTAAACTTTCAAATATTTCAATTTCTTCCTTAAACTATCAGTATTTATTATAAATTAGTCCTCAAAATATTAAACACTTTAATTTCATCCCCAAACTATAGCCTTCATTCTAAATTAATCCCCTAACTTTTTAAACATTCCAATTTCATCCCAAAATTTACATATATATTAATCACATCCCTTGTTAATAAAACCATTAAGCCACGTTATACTATTATATGTTTAAAAGAAACAAAATTTAGGTTAAACTAAGGTTAAAACTAATTACATATTTGGATGAATTTGGAGATGAAATTAGAATATTCAAAAGTTTTAGGACCAATTTAGAAAGAGAGTCATAGTTTATGGATGAAACTAGAATGTTCAAAAGTTTAAGAACTAATCTAGAATGTGAGTCATAGTTTGAGGATGAAATTAATATATTCAAAATTTAAGGATCAATTTAAAATGAGGGTTATAATTTAGAGACATAAGATGCAATTAACTCAAAAAAATACACCCAACTCTTGTTTTTGCAATATGCAATAAGTATTTAATCAAAAAAAAAACAATATGCAATAACTATTTAAAAAAACAGTATGCAATGATAATTTCAAGGATTAATGGATGAAATAATAGTCAACAAAACCAACCCATTAGCATTTCCTTGAACTTTCCAAGTGAAGTCGTCCCCCGGGAAGACTTCAATCTGTAGTGTTCTTTACTCTTCACCTTCTTATTAAGTCTTAATAGGAAAAAGGAATTGCAGTAGCTCCATACATCTCTAGTAAGATGGAGAACTCATCAAAACTTGGCTTCTTCCAAATAATCAAAGAATCCATGAAAATCCCATTGAAGAATCCCACCTTCATTTTCTTAACCTTCCTCACTTCCTTCCCTCTCTTCTGCTTCCTCGTTTTCTACGAAATCATCTTCCAGCAAATCCTCATTGAATCCGCAAAAATATTGCACAACACATCAGAGCCTTTTCTCGAATTCTTTGGCAATGACTACGAAAGAGTTTACGAAATCGGCAACTTGTTAAGCAAAGTTTCTCCCATGGCTCTTTTACTGGGATTCTTATTTACAGCAACCCTCCATTTGCTAGACCTTTTCAACACCACTGCAATTATCGATATCGCGTCGAAAATCGTTGCGGGAGAAAAACCCATCAGCCTCAAACACATGATTAGCAGATCCATCAACGAAACGAGGTTCAAAGCCCCACTAATTACCTCGCTTTGCTCTCTCTCTTTAGCCGCCCTCGTTGTCCTTGGACTGCTCTCCTTTGCAACATACATATATATAATGGTATCGGCAAGTGCTTTCTTGGTGCCGATGTTTATGGTGCTTTTCATGGCTTTGTTGGCCAAGTACGTGGAATGGAGCGCCGTTTGGAACGTGGGAATTGTGATTTCGATTATGGAAGATAACAGACAAGGCGATGTGGCGTTGCTGGTTTCATCGTATCTCACCAGATGTAATAGGAGCGGTGGGTTCTTGCTGATGCTTGGATTCATCGGTTGGAGATTTGGGCTACGATTTGCTTTCCTTTATCAGAGATGGAACAATAGCAACAGCAGTAGCATTGTTGGGATTACTGCAGTGCAAATCGGCCTGGTTTGCTTGGGGAACTTGCTCAAATGGCTTGCCCTCATGCTTTACTTTCATGATTGTAAGAAGCATAGTTCGTATCAGATTACTGATGTTGAAGAGTCAAGAATCCAGAAATGACGACTTGCACTTCCAAGAAGAGACTTTTCTAATAATATGTATAATTGCAATGTTTTTTTCCCCTTTCTTTCAAGGAACTGTTATGAGTAAATCGTGATATTGAGATTCCATACTTATATTGATCTAATTAACTGTGTTCGTAATTTTAAGGTTAAAATTATGGAAAACTTCTCTCTGCTCTTGTAATACCCTTCCCTCTGCTCTTGTAGTGCGCTTTGATTTTCTTTTGTTTCTTTCAATTTTTTCCTTTTTTTTCCGCAATGGCTGATGTAGTGCAGAACTTGACGAATCTTTCAATCGCAAATGAAGAGGACGAAGGTATACAGATTGAGGTGGAAGACGAGAATGTAATCACTTCCTTTACCCATTGTTTCGTCGGCTCTTTCCTCACAACCAGTGTCATAAATTTTCAATCTATGAGAGGAACTCTAGCGAATGTTTGGCATCCTACGGGAGGCATCTCTATCACCGATTTAGGCTATGGACATTATCTCTTCAGGCTTTATCACGTCATTGATGTTGATCTTATCGAGAAGAATGGCCCTTGAAATTTCAATTCTCACTTATTTATTCTTCATAGACTAAAGAACAGAGAAGATCGTGTGTATTTTCATTTATTCTATGTAGATTTATGGGTTCTAGTTCATGAGGTCCCTCTCGGGTTTATGTCAGAGAAGGTCGCAAAGCTTCTTGGTAACTTCATTGGAACATTCATTAAATATGACTATACTACAACCATTTTAGGATATAAACGTATAATGAAAATTCGGGTTCAAGTAGACATTTGAATCCCTCTAAAACGCAGGAAACTTTGCTATTGTCCAATGGTAAGCATCAATATGTGAGATTGTCACACCCCGAATTTAAATTAGATTTTTAAATAATTTTATTTAAGTTTAAATAAAGGACTAAAATGAATAATTTTTAAAAAGTTTAGGGTCAATCTCAAAAGTATGAGAAACTCTGGGACATAACCCTAAATTATCCCATTTCTCTGATATGTTGAAAAAATAAAAATAAATAAAAATAAGGAGCTGGGAAAGTTTGAACCCAAGACCTAGGGTATGGCCATCCATCCTCTACCTACCAGCCTAGGTCATTATTTGTGATTAAAATAATAAATATTTGTTTTATTTATTTCACATGGGTTATATACCCAAAAACCAAACCCCCTCTGATCTAGCAACCCTAAATTTATCCCCCAAAAATCCCCAAATCCTAACCCTAGTTGTCGTACCCTCTCACCTATCCACTTTGATCCGGCCATCGCCAGTGTGCGCCATCAACACCTATCGAACCGTTGTCCCACCCCGACCAAACCTCAACCATCGAAGGCTATAGATCATCCGTCGTTCGTCGTGGGTGAGAGGTTGAAGTTGCGCTGAATCCCCCTCACTGCTTCATTCTTTCGTCGATTACAGCCGCCTCTGTTGCCTCTCGCCTCACCGCCTCCAAATTTGGACTCACCATCATCGACCACATAAAACCCGACCGTGTTCCTTGTATGTCTTTGTCGTTTTCATTGACCGTAGGTGTGGGTAAGCTACATCTAAATTCTGACTATTTATTACAATCTTTGGCTGATTTTTGAGTTAATTGATGTTGAATTGGATTGTTTGGTGTGTTTGGATGCATTGGAGTAATCGATGACACCCCTGACCCCATCACCATCTTCACGCGCCACCACGTGCCGCCATGTGTGCGTGGGGCTCGTCCACAGCTCTGGGAGGCTTCTAGAACTGGTCCGAGTCAACTCAGACTGAACAGAGTCAACCCAAACCGAACTGAGTCAACCCAAACCAACATGACTCGTTGACTTTGACCCAACCCGTTGACTTGACCCGATCCATTAACTTTGATCTGACCCGTTAACTTTGAACAGAGTTGGCCTTTGACTTTGACTTTGACTTTGACTAAAAAGTTAAATTTTTCGAAAAGTTATATTTTATGTTTTTTGAATTCCTGATTTGTAACCGAAGTTTGTTTATCCAAATTCAAACCCAAAAGCCTTCGAATTGAAAAACATTAAGCTCCTTAACTCACTCCCCCAAATTTCTCTCTTTCAGATACTTTTTGGATAGACGACCCGTACCTGGCACTTGGAGGATCGACACATTAGTACAGTGACTTTTTGTTATAATGTTTTTTATTTTTTGAGTTGCATTTAATTTGGTTGACAGGTGCCTATATTTTGAAAATACTATTTTTGTTACTAATGTTAGATTTACTTTGATATTGATTTTGAAATATTTTATTTTTACCACTTTAATTTACTAAATTTAAACTTTGATGTTATTAATTATATTTTTAAAGATGATTAATTATAATTCATATTTTAAGTTATCTAAGGTTGTCTTTGGAAATTTTTATCGTAATCCGCTAGATTTGATCGTAACGCATAGGTCGAGTCTAGGGAGTTACAGGTTTTGGTATCAGAGCTTTCGGTTTTTAAAATATCAGACTGTGAATGGGTCCAAACTAAAAATACGGTTTAAAATATTTTACAAAATAAGTCACAAAGGTCATGTCACCAAGTTTTTACGAGTTTAATTGTGTACGGACTCTAAGTGTCAATTTAATCTTAGGCTTTATCTCTCTGTATTTAACCTCGAGATCCACCAAGATGAGTGTTAGACATGGTCGTCAACCTGACTAAGGACGAGGTCGAGCGACTAGGTTTACGGACCGTATAGATGAGATACATATAGATCACACGCCTCCGGTAGATAATTCTACTCCTACGACCCCGATAGATCTGCCTCCTACCCCGGGTATATGTTTGACGACTCCAGTTAGAGGAGCGATCGTTTCTGAGATCGAGCCTTCTAGAGTAGTGCTAGATGAAAATATCGGTAGATAGTTTCTTTAGTTGAGTCAGGGAGCGGTTAGAGCTACAGGCATTGTACATGAGGTTCATATTTCTCAGACTCTGATTGTTAATAGAGTTAAGACCTTTGGAGGACCTACTGGTGGAGGTCCAACTGAGGTTGAGGACTAGCTCTGCAATACTGAGCGACATACGGACCAGTTAGGATTAGACCCGCAGCGACGTTATTTGGGAGTTGTCTCCATATTATACGGGAATGTCCACACCTGGTGGGAGTCTGTTGTGAGTAGTGTTCTGGCCGATCACTTGACTTGGGACTTCTTTAGAGAGCGTTTTAGGATTTTTTTTTTTTGGGAGATCGTTATCTCACGCATAGAAGACAGCCGTTCCAAGATCTGGTTCAGGGAAATATGATTTTTTCTGAGTATGAGATAGAGGTTTTGAAGTTACTGAAGTATGGTTCTAGTATGGTACCTACCGAGAGGGATAAGAGCTGAAAGTTTGCTCATGGACTGAGATACGAGCTGTTTCGTCATGTGCTCAGTAGGATGATGTATTCAATGTTGTGGTAGGGAAAGCAAATGACGCTAAAGAAGTTGAGGCTTCTGCTCCTGATAGAGAATGGTAGATTGAGATCGCTTTAGGAGGTCTTCCGGTTAGTTTGATCCTTCTGTACGCCCTTAATAAGAGGACTCGTACTACTGCTCATCAGAGGAGTCATATTGGTTCGACGCCTGCGTCAACTCTACCTCTATCTGTTAGTCAAGGTGATTCTTCAGGTTTCACTCCGATACCAAGTTGTGAGCACTATGAAAATCGACACGGAGGAGAGTGTCATAACAAAATGGGTACATGTTATCGCTGTGGATCCAGTGAGCACTTTCTGAGGAATTGTCCACATCCAACCTCTATCGATCGGACCCCCGCTCAGACTCCTACACGTTCTCAAGTTTCTTTTGAAACTCCAACTAGGAGTCACAGTCAGGGTAGGACTTCTGGATCTGTATCTAGGGTCGACAGTAGAACTTAATCGCAGTGTAAAGGACCAAATGTTTCTGAGGCTTGACAACATGTCCTTGTCTATGCTACTAGACGTTCCGGTGATCGAGATGAGCCAGGGACTTTTGCAAGTATATTGTTTATTGCTATTTTTGTTTCATACCATGCATCTCTAACAACGCTCTTTCAATACGCGAGTTTCGTATCTTAAGACCCATAGACTTTTAATTTAAGGCATTGAGACCCTTGTTTCCGCTCTAAGTCTAACAATATTCTTCGTTATTATCAATAGAGTAATTAACCTTTGTCCTCTAAAGGAACTATTAGATATATATGTTATGTTTCCTGTTTGACTTTGGTGAATTTCGGGGATGAACTTCTTTTAAGGGAAGGAGAGTTGTCACACCTCGAATTTAAATTAGATTTTTAAATAATTTTATTTAAGTTTAAATAAGGGACTAAAATGAATAATTTTTAAAAAGTTCAGGGTTAATATCAAAAGTATAAGAAATTTAGGGACTTAACCCTCAATTATCCCATTTCTCTGATCTGTTGGAAAAATAAATAAAAAAACATAAATAAGGGGTTGGGCATGTTTGATCCCAGGACCTAGGTTATGGTCGCCCATCCCCTACCAACCGGCATTGGTCAATGTTTGTGACTAAAATAATAATTATTTATTTTATTTATTTCACCTGGGTTATATACCCAAAAGCCTAACCCTTTTTCTGATTAAGAACCCTAAATTTATCCCCCAAAAAATATTAATTCCCAACCCTGACCATCGTACCCTCACCGATCTACTCTGATTGAGCTGTCGCCAGTGTATGCCGTCACCACTAATCAAACCGCATTCCACCCCAACCAAACCCCAACCGTCGAAGGCTTCAAATCGGTCATTATTCGTCGTGGGTGAGAGCTTGAAGCTACGCTGAATACCCCCTCACTGTTTTGTTCATTCGTCGATTTCGGTCGCCTCCATTGTCGTCTCGCCTCACCACCCCCAAATTCAAACTCACCATCATCGACATCATAAAACTCGACTGGGTTCATTGTCCGTCATTGCCATTTTTTGTCGACCGTCGATATAGGTAAGATAAGATCTTAATTCTGGTTATTTGTTGCAGGTTTTGGCTTAGTTTTTAGTTAATTGATGTTGAGTTGGATTGTTTGGTGTGTTTGGATGCATTGGAGTAATCGGTGGCCACCCCGGACCCCAACACCATCGTCACGTGCCACCACGCATCGTCGCATGCGCGTGGGGCTCGTCCACAACTC